ATATTATAAGAAACTCTTCTTGTACCAGCATATCTTTTTAAATATCCCCTTCTCCATTTACTTGCTACGCAGTACTTTTAAATGCTATAGTTCTCACTAGCACGTAGTGAGCTTATTTTCGTGTCCCCTTTTCTCCCTACTCTCTTTGAAATAAGAACTGATAGAAGTAATAACCTTGGAAGGCAGAGTTCTTCTGTTTATTTTTGAAAAAAATGATTCTGTCGCCATCTGGATGACAAATTCTATGCTTCAATTCCTAGCTATGGCATCAGTAAGGAAGATGGAAATGAGGAGACAGTTAGCAAGGTGTGTGAAGACTATTTGTAGAAATAAGATCTCTGAAATAGGACAATAATGAATAGAAGTAAAGGGTAATGCAGGCATGTGAATTCTAAATGCTTTCCAACCTGAAATAACACTGGCTTCTGGGAACATATTTTAACTGATTTTTGTATTACTTCTGAGGCAAAGAAGAATAAGGCATAATATGGCATTATTGGACACAGTTTGAGGTTGGAAATGGTGATGGTGTCTGCTTTGAAGTGACTTAATGTAGATTTTCCCCACATGCACAATTTTAAGTCTAAAATTGGGTGACAAGAGCGCTGCAATTTAGTATGTGATAATACATCTTGCCTCTGACAGATTGGGTTACTAAAGTTTAGTAAAGTGCATTTGGTAGTAAATATCAAGACCTGGATTTGCTTTCAGTTTAAATAAAGATCTTTATAGGAGAGGGAAGACATCAGAAGGGAAAATGATTCTGTGATTATTTATTGACTTATGGGTGGGCGGTTTGGAGCCAGGCTTTGTTCTGTGCATTTATATGGCTGCTTAATGATACAGTAGCAGCCTTACACTGTGACTGTTTTTACAAGAAACAGTGAGAATTTAAAATGAACTGTATGAGGATATATTGCTAGTGCACACATGGATGTGCACGTGTGTATCTGTTACTCGATTGTCAAGTTGTCCTTTTTAATTGTCTGGAGCTCATGCAGTATTGTGGTGGTGGTTAACTACTTGTGCTCTGATGTTCAGCTACCACAAGGCTGCAAAATAATCAGGCTTCAAACTGTGTACTTAAAGTAAGTAGCTGAAGGTTTAGGAAACCAGGTGTTAGCAAAACCTATTCTGTGAATAAATGTTACAAGTAATTTAGATGATCTAATTATATTATAATTCATATTTCAGTTGGTGAACAGAACGTCCCATCTTGAGTTATCTCTATATTTTCTGCCAAATAGTGTAGATTAGATTTAGTTCCTTATTGCAAGACATATGTAATCCCTCTGTTTTCTCTCAGTCCCTGGAGGTGTAATGCTGCATTGCATACTCATTCTTGCTTGGTGTGATGAGGAATTGCTAAAGTACTTATCATAAGGGTAGGGATAGCTTTGCTTGTCGGAAGTTTAATAGTTTAATTTAGAAGCAATTGTCAGGAAGTCTTGCATCTGAAATATCTGTTACACTTTTATGCTCTATCCATACAGGGATGCTTCCTGCACTCTGGTCCTGTGCCTGTTTAACTATTCTTGAGGATGCCCCTTTGGTTGAGATTAAAAGTGGATAAACGCTACTTCTCTCTGTGGCTGTACAAGATGGCACAAGTGTCTGTAAGGCCCAATTACACATAGTCCCTGTACTTTCTAAAATGATGCTGAACTTCTCTTTATAAATGTCCGGTAAAAAAGGAAGTGAAGGCACTATGTAAAAGGAAGTTTCCCTATGGCTAGAAATTAGCAATAGTAAACATAAGAACAAATTACTTCCAGTTGCAGAAATGTTGATTATTATTTCACCTCCTTAATGGTGAAGTGAGGGTTTTTTAACTAAAGTTCTTGTCAAATTAGCATAGCTATAACTAAGCATTAGATGTGTCTGCGAGGAACATGTCATCAAGAATGCCAAAACTGAGCTGGAAATGTGCAGGGGAAATTGTGCACTTTATTTGCATAAAAACTACATGGCCTTTTAAAATTTGGCTAGCAACACTTGAGTTATATCTGGAAATTGTAATTATTAAAGGTGCTTCTGATCTATATATACAATTTTGGAGGCTTTCCTAAAATATTCATGAATTTGTTAGACAGTGGATTGTATCCTGGAAAAATACAAGGGGGGTTTTATGTGATTTGTATTGATAACTTAGTTCTAGTGTCTACCAAAATTTTACAGTGTCAAGACTTTCCTTCAGCTTTGGAGTCTGGAAATCTTCTGATTGGTATGGACAAGCCCATCTTCAGTGTGAATATAGTCTGCTGAAGTTCTGCCAGATTGGGGTCTCATGGGTTTTCAGAGAAATGTTCAGAATTTAATACCAAAGAGCAGTGAGATCATGTGGAATTGCGATGGAGTTGTGTTCGGATTCTGTTCACAGGGAAGGGTCCAAAACTGGGAGTTGTATTTGTCAGTTCAGTTCTAGTAAGTGAATGAGTTGCTGCACAAGCTTGTTTGGTACTATGAGGTAATTTAATGATTTCTATTCTACCTGGGCAAATTATTCCTACAGTAACTTTCTTTTACTCTGTACTGATTTTAGTTCAGCTTACTGTAACGTGTCCTCAGTTACCTGCATTAAATAGCACTTGGTGAGTAATGTGGCAAATGAATGAAAACATCCACATCAATAACATATTGTATTTTTAAAAATCATTTTTGTTGAAGCAAGGAAAGCATCTGTTTGGACACAAAACATTGGCTACACTTAGCATGTGTGAAGAGAGAACAGAAGCAATGCTTAACGCTTTCGTCTCCTCTTTAGAGGCATGATAGGAGTTGGATAGGAGGCATGATGGTGTAAAATTGTCTAACCCTTCCCTGATGAGCCTTGCTGAGATTCTCAGAAAGGGTAGGCACTGGAATAAGAATAACTGGAAAACTTAATCTTGGCTGAGAGTCTGTTACTCAGTCTGTACATTAGCATTAGATAGGAAAGGAAAATAAGAAATAACTTAGGTCTGTAGAACTGCAGAATTTTACTATAGATAGGCTGCAAGATTAAGGAGCTGTCTTGGCACGTTATGATTCAAAGACCAGGAGCCTTATCTGCCTTTCTATCCTAAGGAGTTTTTCTAGGAATTTCACACTTGAGATATCACACTGTAATTGGGTTAAATCACTGTATTTTGTCTCAATTTTCCTCAATACTTTGATTTTATCATTTTGTTCTATCATTATCCCTTTTCTGTCTCTTGGCTTGGCTCTAATTTCTTGAAGTAATTTGAGAAACATATACCAATAGTGGTTGGGCGAGTGCTTTTGTACAAATGAGCACGCACAGCAGTGGATCCCAAAACTCCAATGGTAAAATCTCTGCGGTAGGTAATATCTAATACCAGGCTGAGCAGTATCACACTGAAGTCTCTAAGCTAATTGTATGACATCTGCAAGACATGTTTGTAATGTTTAGTGTGATGAAAACACAGTGGGCTGTAATATTATGCATTTGGGAAGAAACAGAGAAAGATGAATTCATCAGTTTATTGCTTAGATGTATTAGCTAAAGTAAAACCAAGCCAAACAAGCCCCCCCATCTTGACTTTTTCTAGTAGTGCTGTAATACTCATGGAAACCTATTTTCATTAAGAGTAGAAGAGGGAAATAATTCACTCTGTTGCTGTGAAGTAGAAGGGTACTCAGGGACCAGTGGTGAACCAGCAATTCCATTGTGGAGGGCAGCTTTTATTATATTTCTTATTATGGTTAGGAAATGTCTTTGTTCAAAAACTCATTTTATTGTGTGATGAGAGTTCAGCAAAGGTTCTTCAGTTCACTTAGCTTCTCATTTGGGCTAGAGAAATGTCTTGTAAGGTCTGTCTTCAAAATGTGGCCTTCTCTTTTTATTTTATTCAGGGAGATTTTGGTGTTTGCTTTGCTGAATCTTGTTAGAAAATGAGAGCATTACAGGTTACTTTGACTTGTCCCAGTCAAATATTCAGCAGTCCGCAAATGCTGACTGCCATTAAGGGTAGTCTGAACTTCTGTGCTGTGGAGCTATTCAAGCGAGGGATTATTTGCTTCACAGTTGAAAATTCCTGCTAAAAACTTCAGTTTCTTTATTACTCTTTTTAAGAATAATTCATTGTCTAGAGCCCTTTCCTCCTCACAGGCAGGAAGGTAGATGTTTTATTTGAGGTAATTGTTCTGTTTGGGCACCTTTGGTGCCAGCCAGCCAGTCAGTTCTGCTTGTTTTCTGTAGCTTTGTTTTTCATCCCATCAGAATACATCGAAAGTGGAATCTTAATTTTTCTACTTCAGCAGTAAAGTGCAACATAGTTACTTCCCTTATGCAGTATGAAAACTAGATATCTATTTCCTAAAATCCGGTTTGGCTCTTCTGGGCTTCTTATGGCCTGGGCAGTGGAAGCAGCAATGAGACTGATCTCTGGATAGAACTTTTGAACTAACTAATGAGAGTTTTGGGGTTGCCTGCAGTCATCAATACATGTGCCAGTTTAACTTTTGATCAGGTAAATATGCCCTTAACTCTTGAGGCTGGTAAATTAATTCCTCTCTTCTTTTTTTTGGCATAGCTTAATCTCTTTCCTTGTACCATCAAGTGACAGTCTCATATGTTATTAATCCCATTTAATGTTAAACTGTGCATGAAGATCTGCTGGCTGCCAAAGTGCAAAATGATCTGAGTGTTGTATGTGGTTTGTGCAGTGATGCTTGGCACTCTCTAAGGAAAGCAGAGAAATGGTGGAAAAGTAACATTGATTTTAACTTAATACTTGATCTCTGCTAGCAGTTAGAGGGCAGGAAATTCTTAAAAGTAACATAGGAAAGTAGTTGTTAAACTGTTATGAGAGGACTTGCAGCGCGGGGCTCATCTTCTGAGACCAGGGGTTTTGCCTTGAGAGTAGCTTGAGGAGATAATCAATAGTGGAACTTCTGTGTTAAAGCTGCTAGTGGTTGCCTGTAATCTTTGAAAGAACTGCTGCTGTCTAACAAGGATGAAATCTTTTAGTTCACATTATGTTGTGTGTATGCTCTAGGTCATGCCTGAGCCAGCTGAGGAGGAGAGAGAGGTTGTACCTTGTTTAAGATTAACAGAACAAAATTTGCCTGTCCTGGCAAGGAGACTATAGCAAGCTGGTGAGTAGAGAGTTCAGGTGTGGGGTGTGCCTGTCTGGAGTAGAGAGCACAGTGGGACACAGATCTAACAGGAGAGAGGGGTTAAAAAGCCCTATGTGGAGTCTTTCCACCGTTGGGGTTTTCTGGGCTGAAGGAAGCCCTGCTACTTCCCTAAAGAGAAGTGGAGTCTGTAATGCCGTGTGCTTTGATTTCTGTGCTCTAGAAATTCTAAGCTTCTATTTAGATTTTTCTTGTCCCACTGCTTTCTAGTGTTCTATTTCTAATAAAATAACTGGAGTTCTTGTTGTTATCCCAGTGGTATGTACCTGGATTATGTTAAAGAAGTAGAAAAACTTCCTTGAGCAGGGAGGAAGAGGGAGGAATGGGAAGCACTTTAATGAGAATACTGTATTAGTATTATTTGTGATAGTGAGAAAGTGAGGCAGTCTGTATGAGGAACACAAATAGCATAACTGTCTAACAGCTTCTGTTTTTGAAGCTATTAATAACATTCCAGTTCCTGTTTACTGTGTATTCTAAGCCAAGCCGCCTTTCTATGCACAGCATTCTAGTATTCTCTCTGAATGTTGACAGGGAGCTTAAAAGCATTGGTTAAGATGTATCTGCCTTGTGCCTTTTCCTGGGATTCTTGCAAGTCTGGCCTGTACTCTGCAGGGAGCTTAGCTGACTGCAGAAAAAGCTTAATGTGATATAGATGAGTGCCTGAACACCTTTCTACCTTCTAGGCCAATACTCTTGCATACATACATCTGTTCCAATAACATGTTAACTGTAGCCAGCATGCCCATGCCTCTCAAGTGTTCTTGAGTCCACAAGTGAAAACTTGATTCATTCATAAATTAACTTCATTGACACATTGGTTGGAAGTGTTGCTTCTCTAGTGTCACTCCTCAGCTTCTGTCTAGAGCAAGGATTACTATATAAATGGGAGGATCTGGCTATTCTAGGTTTCCTTATTGTATGTGGAGAAGGTGAGTGAGATTTAGTAGACTCACCTTCTTAAAAGATTTCTAGCAAATTATAGATTTTCTTACTTACACCTGCTATGCCTTTTTGTCATCTGTTCTGGAAGCTGCATGTATTTTTGCTGTATGTATTTTTCCTGGGCTATTTTTTGTACATGTCTGTGTTATTTTATATACTTTCTTTAGTCTTTTTGAATTTTATCTACTACAATGAATTTACGATTCTATTATCAGAATATAGTATAGTCTCTTTCCTGGTTTTGAATCTAAAAGTGTATGGAAAAGAAAACTCCTAGATCTCTTTCAAAATATAAGTAACTGAACTTCCCAAGTTTATGAATCAGATAATTACAGACATGCCTTTTACCAGACCTTACTGCTTGTTTTTATTTCTGTAGTCTTAAAAGCTTCAAATAATCATTCTCAATGGACTGAAAAATAGTTTCCATGTAAGATAATAAATTTGGCAGCATAGTTTCAAAATCCTTTAACTGATCCTGCAAACAGATGTTTAGGCGAAATATTGCTCATCTAAAAGCAGATACTGCTAATGTATAATAACTTCATAAAATTGCTGGAAACTTGCTTTCGTATTGAGAGAATCAGTGTTAATAAGTTAGATCAGTCATTTTTATTTAGGCAATACATAAAAGCATATGTCTTCCTGCTTTACCAGCTGTCATAAAACTGTGGAGAAAAAGGTTGTTTCCAAGCTCTCCAAAGGGAATATTTCACAGAAGTATTTTGACCTTTATAGCTTACAAAACCAGTTGACTTCCTTTGCCCATAAACTGTTTTTTGGCTGAGATTTGTTCTACAGCAAGGCTTTAGTTGTGAGGAAAAATACCAGCTCTGAAGACAGTAACTTCTAGTGCCTTCTAGTGGTTTTACTTATTACAGATTGCTCTTGTAAAAGAACCCAACTCATTTCTTCAACTGAGTTGCATCATTCCAAATTTAATGTGTCCCCCTCAATATTTCTTAATAGTCAACAATTATTAGCGCACTTCAATGGTACTTGCATTGTAAGAAGCACAAGGCATGTTACACTAGTGACATTATTTCACATAATATATTTTTGTGGGTTTTAATCTTGAGGCCTTTGCCTGTTTCTCTTCTTTTGAGCAGTGTATAGGCATTTCCTGCTAGATCAGCATATCCTTGAAAATGAATGGCCTTTTTTTTTCCTTTTTTATTCTTGGGGTAGTGTTTAAAAAATTCCCCAAACCATCCAACCATCCCACCAACTGAAAACCAAAAACCAACCCTGCCTGAAGTGTTGCCACTGAGGAGCAAAGTAAAGCAGTGTGACAGTTTGACCATTGAACTGAATATTAGGATAGTTTAAAAATCATCAGCTGACAAACGAAAGTAATACATTGATAGTAATTTTGAACTTGGTTTGCCATTAGACACCAGCCAAAGAGCAACTTATGTAAGTCTACAATCTTCATATTTCAAGGTGTAGGGAGTTTGAGTGTTTTGCATTAATTAAACAGACCTGATTTTTGGAACTCCTCAGTAGATTTCTCATTGTAACAAGTATTGAAAATATTATTGTGCTTTTCCCTTCTGCTGTATCTGCCACTTCTCAGTAGAAAATATTAATATCTCTGTAAATAGATGTATCTTTTGCTGGATACTGACTTTATCCTACATAAGAGGATATATATTGTCAGTATATTCTCCTGATGACTCTTCTGTAGTTCATCTTCATGTTGAGTTATTAGAAATCAAAACCTGTCACTGTTATAATTTCTACTGCTTCCCAACTTTGTGTAACCTTCTATGAGGTCTTTTGTTTCTCATCAAGCACTGAAACTCACACTGGGAAGTGTGAGGAAGTTGTTTTTTTATTAGCATGGCATAGGAGAAATGGCATAATAAATGATACCCTCAGAAAATTAAAACATCACAGAAAACTCTCATTTTCAGTAAGTCCTGGAAGAGTTCTTGTGAAGAAAAACATTGCTTTTCTCTCAGATTCACATTATTTTCTAGAAGTATCAGAATTACATATTCAAAGATCTTGGTATTATTTGCTATGCGCTGATATTAAAGATGAAATGGCAGCAGGGTGGTGTCAGCTTCTGTGTGTAAACTTCTCTGGAGGCTATGTAAAAGGCAGTTTCTGGGATGGTGTTTTGGAGGCACAGGTGGAGAGCTGTGAGGGCTGCTACAGCTGTAGGAAGGTAGGGTAAAGGTGTTCTTTATGAGATAGTGAATATTTGCAAAAATCAACCTTTAAGTAAGCAGGAAAGTTAAGTCATAAGATCTAGCTTTTACCTGGGTAGCCTTGTAAAGATGCTGAAGAAAGGAAACTATTAACTGGTGAGGTGTGACACAAATTGAGGTATAGTAGTCTTACTGAAGGGATAAGCGCATACAGGGATGGCAGCAGTGCTCAAGGCCACTGTAATATAGAGGCAGGAAAATCTTGAATCAGCAAATTAAGATCAAGTTTCTGAAGATGATGATCCATGGGGAAGGTATACTGTGCTCAGTGTGAAGAACTAGTGCCTGTGGGCCCTTTAATCTCTGTCATTAAACTTAAAAGGAAACAAAGCAATTGCTCTCTGTGCTGTCCAAGGTAAGTGCCATGTAGAGGCACGAGTTATGAGAGGCATTACAAGTGGTCCAGCTACTTACTACTAGCACGAGAGTGATGCTTCAAGCTAGAGGAGGAAAAGCAAGTCCCAGTGGAGTCAGAAGTCTTGTGATGAAGCCTGGCTGCTGGCTGCACTAATAGCTTCAAAGTGTGAAGCTATTGGATTTCAAAGTGATGGCACTGGTGTATTCTTAAATTAGTAGGGTGCTAACCATGTAATAGTTTACATACCTATTCCTACTGCACTAAGTTTGTTCCGGGTTCAGCAGTAGCAGTCATTTTTCTCCTTCTTAGTAGCTGGTGCAGCGTTGTGTTTTGACTTTCAGCCTGGGAACAGTGCTGATAACACTGATGGTTTTAGTTGCTGCTCAGAAATGTTTACTCTGACCAAGGACTTTCTGAGTCTCATGCTCTGCCAGGGAGGAGGGGAAGCCGGGAGGAAGCAGAGACAGGACACCTGACCCAAACTAACCAAAGAGGTATTCCATACCACAGCATGTCTTGTCCACTATATAAACTAGGGGCAGTTACCCGGAAGGGTTAGATCACTGCTAGAGTCGGGTTAAGTATCGGTTGACAGATGGTGAGTGATTGTATTTCTCTTCCCTTGTTATTTCCCTTATCATTATTATTATTATTGGCGGTAGCAGCAGTGGTTTGTGTTATACCTTAGTTACTGGACTGCTCTTATCTCAGACTGTGGGAGTTACATTCTTTCGATTCTCCTTCCCATCCCTCTGGGAGCCGGGGGAGGAAGGGGGGGAAGTGAGTGAGCGGCTGCGTGTTTCTGAGTTACCAGCTGGGCTTAAACCATGACACGGAATTTTTAATTCAGAACAATATCTTAATTTTCAGTGGTATGTGATCTATAGTAGCCTTAGGGGTGTTTAATACTTGTTTGGGCCCAGCTGAATTTAAAACTGGGTTTTTTCATTCTAGTTTAGTATTTGCAATCCTTGTCCTTATTTCTGTAATAAAATTGCAAATGCTTTTCATGTTCTTAATGTAGTAGTTACCTGAGAAAGAACAACACATAACTGAGATTTAGTGTTTGCCATGTAATTTCAGTGTTCACCTTAATTCAGTTTGATTCTAGACTTCTGTTGTGAAAGATAGGGTAGGTTCCTTGTAAGTGTTCTTTCTCATTGACATCTCTCATTTCTTCAGACGCACTCCTTTAAATCTCTGAAGAAAACTAAGGTATAGGTTGAAACCTTTCCTTCATAAAAATGCTCGGCTACCTGACAATAATCAATATAAAACACAAATTGGAGGTAGGATTAAACTAACCAGGAAGTTAATATAGAAAATAAGCTTTCAAGGACTAAAATCATTATTGACTAGAAAGTCTTCAGGGACATTATTTGAGAGTTGCCAAGGAAACATAACCTTCCCAGTGATAGTATGCATTGCACATAATAAGTAAC